TCCCATTGAATTTCCAGGCTATGTGAAGAATATGTAAATAGGCCAAGTATCTAGTACTTGCCAGAAAGATCTGGGTTGGATAAAAGCACAAATCCACTCCTGTACTTAAAAAGTAACTCTGCACACAATCTACAGACACTGAGAAGTTCCTTCGATGGTGTTTATAAAAACTGCATGCTTTCAGAGCTCATGTTCTGTTTATTGCAATTTAAAGAGATGTCTTTTTGGCAAACTCTTTATGAAAATTACATATTTAGGTATCACTTAGAACATTTTAATAACCCTGCAGCTTTGTCCCAGGATGCCTTCTCAGGATCAAATTTAATCAATGATTAATAAAGAAATTACTTGAAAAACGATAAACTCCAAATATATTATTTTGGTAACCTATGAAGTATAAGAGTAGAATCTGTGTCCTAGATATTGAAATATGGCTTAATTTAGCATGCAGTTCACCACTTAAATATCTGTCCTGTCCTTTGGAGCTTCAATATCACAGTGTCAGCTATACACAGGAGTAAATGCCTCTAAATAGTCCAAGCTAACCTGAGAAGGGAGATGAGACCCGTAATTTTTCATGCTTTCCAAAGTCAAAGACCACAAAATTTCTATAATTTGTCCAAAAACATGGTGAATAAAACAAGATTATTCAGCATTTCAAATCTAACAACTCGTAATACTATAGTTAAAAAAAATTCTAGCAACTTCCATTTTGTCATTTCTCTCAATAGAAAATATTTGCTACAGAATAAACAGGTGATTGGCATAATTATAATCACACATTAGAAGAATTATTTATGACAGATTTGCATATTTGGACAATGTTTGGTGATAATACATCTTTTTTATTAGCCTTCTTTAGCCACAGCATTCATTATAGTATACATGTGAAATAATCATAGTGCAAAGCAAAAATATGTCTAGCCTCAAATTTATAAACAATTCAAAATAATATATACAGATTTGTTAAGAAAAATGCTACCTTGTGTTCTTCACACGTAATATCATTACCACAATACACATTTATCTTCCAACTGATTTCAATTAAAATTTCAGTTCATGTGAAAATGAGACTGCATATCAATTAAAATCATTCATTCATTTATTCAAAACACAGATCTCGAGTGTCTACAGATCTCCAAGAGACATATCAGTGTCAAGTAAACACATGTGATTTGGCCTTTGCCCTCATGGGTTAAATTACATTCTTTTTATAGCTCCCATAAATTAAGGCTTAATTCACCAGCATAAATACACTTAATTAGAGTAAGAGAGAAGAAGGAATGGACTCTAAATATGACGATCTTTATTAGATACAAGGGCAAGTCTCCTTTCATCTATTATACAAATACTACACTCTATGCCTTGCAAATAAGCAAAGATATTATGCCCAAATAAAGTGAAGGGGAAAGATTAACAGCGATCCAACCATAATGATTAGTATGGTTGGGCAAATTAGAATATTCAAAGGATTAAAAACTAATTTTCTTTTCACCAACACATTATGCCCTTATTATCTTCCATAAAGACAAAGCGAAGCCCATGAAGCCACTCAGTGGTTTTATTTTCTTATTTTTATGTCAGAGATTGACTTAAGAGAACCTAAGGAATCCCATTTGCCAGGCCAGAAAAGAAACAAAGTACCATATATTTCCAAGTCATTTCAACTTTGCATAGAGTCTCACTAGTTCGTAACACTTAAGCTTAAAAAGAAAAGCCACAGAGAAAAACAAAAACCAATCATATTGTCAAATTTGAAGCACTTCACATTTCTATGTACTAGCTCCCAAAATGTGCACTGCCAAACTGAGAAAAATTATCTAGGGATGTGCTAGAGATGTAATATATCCTTAAAGTCATATAACTAATGATCATGAGAGCAGCAGACACAAAACTGTCAACCCAATGTGTTTGTCAAATAATTTATTGACGCCCTCTCTTAGGAATTGATTTTCTCTCACAAGAACCAAGGTTTTAATTTAAACAATACCCATGTAATTTTTGCAGTATACTTTCAATTAAAATATTAACTACATACATCTTTTTTTTTTTTTTTTTTTTTTAAGATGGAATCTCACTCTGTCACCCAGGCTGGAGTGCCTGTCTCTTATACACATCTAGATGTGTATAAGAGACAGCTGCAACATCTGCCTCCCAGGTTCAAGCGATTCTCCTGCCTTGGCCTCCCAAAGTGCTGGGATTACAGGCAAGAGCCACTGTGCTCAGCTTACAAATATCATTTTTTAAAATTTTAATTATACAGAACTCAAAATGAATACAATGTTTGAAAAGAGACACTTACCGTTGATCCATCGAGCCTCTGGATCATGAAGCACAAAGTCTTTCCTAAAGAGGTCTTCTAAAGACAATCTGGTTTCTGACGAATTTGTGAGTTCATCTAAAATAAAGGAAATTCTAAATTAGATACCTATCTTATGCTTGTTTTTTAAAAGGAACAAATTACAAAATTTGGAATATTTGCTCTAAAAAATATATTAACTAGATAACAATATAAAGTGACCATTTTGACATGTTTTTTGGCATTGGAACTTTGTTGATGACTTTTTAAATAAATGAAACTATTTTTACTATTAAAATTGTCTTGATCTGGTACAAATTTAATAGAGCAATCTCATGTTATGTATTAGTAATATAATACGAAAGCAGTTAAGAAATCCTGTTGTACATTGTACCCCAAAAGGCAGATTTTCTACCATTTAACTATAATTCAGCCGCTTATTTTCCAAACTCATGTTGACATATTGTTTCATTGGAAATGTACAGTTTTGTTGTAAAAACCAAAGACGGTAGACTTGAGGGACTTAAACATGTATGACTAAACTCTGAAGTCAGAAAGAAGTTCACCAAGGAAATAGAATAATTACCTACTTCCACCAAAGAATTAGTACCCAACAAATACAAAGTAGATTTGATTTAAATGTAAAGTTCAAATAATAAAATACTAGAATATTAATGGTAACACACACATTTTATACTACTCTTTAATAGATAAGTTAGGTGTATTACTCTTTCTACATTACAAAATATAAGAAATGAAAAGATAACAGGGCTTGAATACTAAAATCAGGCATCACAAACACCCTTTTACATGCAAGAGGCTATAGACAGGAATATTGCATTTTCTTTGCAAAATAATAGCATTGTTTATTTGCTGTATAAATTCATCTTTGCGACTTTTCAGCTATGACCTTCACTTCGGTTGAAAATAAAATGTCAAGGATATATACTAACCTCATTAGATTTTATTTTTAAAAGGTTCAGCACTTATTACAGCAAGAGCTTTGCTTTTTTCCAGCTGAAAAGCTGGGGCAAAGAGTCAATAACTTCAAATGCAATTCCTTTTCACATAAATCAATCATGTATTTAACCCATAAAATAACTGCCAAGAAAAATTTGAAAAAAATATTATAGTAACAATAGTGAGTATTGTTTGATTATAATCTTAGCATAAGACATTGTGATTGTATAGAGATTTGCAAAATGAAATGCTGTTAGGTGATGATAAATACTTGATCATTTGCCTGGCAGTCTGAAACACCAGAATTTCTTAATTCATTCACAAATTTTCTAGTTTCATTCAAAAAACTTCAAGGCTACAGTGAAGTATTGTAAAGGAAAGGAGACATATTTCTGTCCTGTCCTGAGGGGTTTGCATACGCTTAACAAAAGATATAACAGATGTCAGGCCGGGCGCAGTGGGTCATGCCTGTAATCCCAGCACTTTGGGGGTCCAAAGCAGGTGGATCACTTGAGGTCAGGAGTTCGAGACCAGCCTAGCCAACATGGTGAAACTCAGTCTCAACCAAATTATATAAAACAAAAAATTAGCCTGGCGTGGTGGTGCACATCTGAGGTCCAGCTACCTGGGAGGCTGAGGTGGGAGAATTGCGTGAATCCAGGAGGCAGAGGTTGCAGTGAGCTGAGATCATACTACTGCACCACTATACTCCAGCCTGAGAGACAGGGTGAGACTTTGCCTCAAAAAGCAAAAATATACACACACACACACACACACACACACACACACACACACATACAGACACACACACACACACACAATAGATGTCAGTATAAGGATAGAGACTGCTAAATGAGTTTGGAAAAAGGAAATGTCTCACGAAAAAATCAGAGAAGGCCTCACTTAAATATAAAATGACCAACTCTCACTAATTCCTGGGTAAGAATGCAAAATGGTACAGTCACTTTGGAAAATAATCTGGCATTTTCTTATAAAACTAAACAAATTATTTTCATACCATCCAGTAATCATGCTCCTTGGTATTTACCCAAAAGGACTTAAAAACGTATTAACACAGAAAAATCTACACACAGACGTTTATAGCAGCTTTTTAAACCATCGCCAAAATTTGAAAGCAACCAAGATGTCCTTCATTAGGTGAATGGCTAAATAAACTAGATAAATTGGCTATTATTCTGTGCTAAAAAAAAAAAAAAAAAAAGAGCTATCAAGCCATGAAAAGATATGGAGGAAACTTAAACACATATTATGAAGTGAAAGAAGCCAACAAGAAAAGGCTACACAGTGTATAATTTCAACTACATGACATTTTGAAAAAGCAAAAATATAGAGATAGTAAAAATATCAGTGGTTGCTAGGAATTGCGAGGTAAGGAATGAGCAGGTGAACAGAGAGAATTTTTAGGGTGGTGAAGTTATTCCACATGATTCTACAATAGTGGATAAATGTCCTTATTTACTTGTCCAAACCCATAGAACACAACCCACTGGAGAGTGAATCCAAACCGACTTTGGGTGACAATGATGTGGCAATATAGGTTCATCAGTGATAGCAAATGTGCCACTCTGGGGGCGGGGGATGTTGATAATGGGGGAAGCTATGCATATATCAGGCACAGCGCGGTTGGGGGAAGAGAATATGGGAAATTCCTTTCCTGTACCTTTCACTCAATTTTGCTGTGAATATAAAATTTCTCTGAAAAATAATATATTAGCAAAAAAAAAAATTAAACAAAAAACCCTGGGTACTACGGGTTTCAAAAGGCAGAGGAAGGGAATACTAGGGGCAGGAGAAGGAGGAAGAACATTTGAGATAAAATCCAGAATTCAGCTTCCATCATAAAAGTATGGGATTTTAATCAGATGAGCTAATTTTATTAGGGTTTCAGAAATATATTTATTCTATGAAGTATCTCAATAAAACCAAGGTTTGACATAAATTTCAAAATTTTTAAATTTCCCCATCACATAAATTTACCATTGTTTGTCTAATCAGATCCCTTCAATTTTTAGAGAATTATATTTTTTACCATCTAAATTTGATAAACATTGACTTATTTGATACAATAAATTTACATAGGTAAAGGTGGGAGGTAGGCATGTGCTTGTTTCAGTGAGAGAGACTATGCTAACACAAACTATTAAATAAATGATCCTTATCTATTAAATTTAAAATATTAACTGTATTGGATATAAATATCTTTTATATGTATGCATCTGTTTGTCTTCTAAAAATATTTAGTTTCTTCCTAATGAGTTCCACATATTTCATTTACATTTTTAGGAAGATGTTAATTTAAGAAAAGGCTGTAAGTCCACCACATCAAATAATCTTATTTTCAAATACATTTTAAAATAATATTTTGGTAATTTTCAAACATGGTATCTTTCATGTGAGCTTTAAAATCATATTACAACTCCTTCAAATAGAAATTTTATTTAAATAACACTATATATATTATATACTTACACACAACAGTGTAAACTGGAAAATTTTAAACATTTCACAACAAGGCTTTTCATTCAGAAATATTCCATCCTCATTTTATGTACATTAATATTATATTATCTTTGATTTTTCATGTAAGTCCTTTACCCTTCCAATTGAATTTAGTGCAAAGTATATATAGTTTGTTATTGTGAACAGAATATTTCCCATTCTCATTCTAAATGATTTTTATACCCATAAGGTTAATGATTACACCATATCACATTTTCTTAAATATTTCAATTATGAATTTTTATTTTCTACATATTATAGCGTCTGTAAAAATATTATTTTTTTTATTTATTTTCCAAAGTTTAAGCAACTAATTATACTATGTATGCATTCGCTTCCCAAGTAATTGAAGATTCATATGAAGTTGCAAGAAATATTACAGAGAAATTCTGTGTACCCTTCATTCAGTTTCTCTCAATGACAAGTAACATCCTGCATAATAATATCATGAAAAGAAACCGATATTGATATACTCCATCAACCTTACTCAATTTCCCCAGTTTTACATGTATTCATTTATTCACGTGCATTCTTGTGTGTTTAGTTCTATGCAACTGCATCACATGTGACCAGCACCAAAGTCAAGAACAGTTCCATCACTAGGAATTCTTGTGCTACCCTTTTATTAATAGTCCCCCCAACCCAATCCCTTGGCAATCAACCACTACTCTGTTCCCCATCTTTAAAATTCTGTAATTTTAAGAATGCTATATAATCAGAATCTACCATACCTAAGCTTTTGGATTGACTTTTATCACTCAGAATAATTCCCTTGACATCCATTCAAGTCGTTGAGTGTATCAATAATCTATTCCTTTTGATGGCTGAGTAATATTCCAGGGTACTGATATACCATTCTTTAACTCTTCACTCATGGAAGAACATTTGAGTTATTGCTATTTCTGGTTTGGGGATATTATAAATAAAGTTACTAAAAACATTTGTTTATAGATTTTTGTACAAACATAAATTTTCTTTTGTCCAAGACGAATGCCCAAATATGAAGTTGCTGAGTCAAATGTAAACACATTAGTTTTATTTAAAAATTCCATATGCTTTTTTACCGTAGTTGTATCATTTTACATTCTCACTAGCAACGTATAAATGATCTAGTTTCTCTGCATCCTTGGCAGCATTTGATGTCATTTAAAAAAATGACTATTCTTATATATATGTAGTGATATCCCCTTGTGGTTTAATTTGCATTTCTCTAATACCTAATGAGGTTGAACATCATTTAATGTGTTTATTTATGATCCCCATACAGTCTTCAGTGAAATATCTGTTCATATTATTCATCCATTTTCTAACTGAATTATTTTGTTGGTGTGTTTGTTTAACTGCTGCATTTGAAGAGTTCTTCATCTATTCTAAATACAAATCCTTTGTCAGATACGTGAATTTCAAATATTTCCCTCCAGTCTGTAACTTGTCTTTTCACCCTCTTTAGAAAATGTTTTGTGGAGAAAAAGGTATCAATATTTGTGAGGTCCAGGTAATCAATTTTTCCTTTTATGAAATATGCTTTTGTTGTCAAGTCTAACAATGTTTCGCCTATTTCCTGGTCTTGAAACTTTCTCCTATGGCTTTTTCCTAAGAAATGTTA